CAGGCCCCGAGCCGTCAGCACAGAGCCCGACGCGGGGCTCGAGCCCGTGAACCGTGAGACCACGACCTGAGCCGAAGTCGGACGTTTAACTGACGGAGCCACCCAGGCACCCCTGCCAAGCACTATTCCAAGCACTTTACACGTATTAACTCATTTAATCCTCAAAAACGACCCTGAGGTAGATACTCTCGTCACCCACTTTATAGATGGGGAGGTGGAAGCGGAGAGAGACAGGGGCTAGCTCAACGTCTCCCGGCTACCAAGTAGCACTAAGGCCCCAGGGACTCCACCAGCCCCCACTGCCGTGGATAAGATTTACAGAGTCATTCACGGGGTCATTATTCTTATCACTGTCTGTCTGTCATCGGTCGTTCCCACAAGAACATAAGTTCCACAAGGTCAGGATTGCATCTGTCTTATTCATTGCCGGATCCCAGCGCCTGGTGCACAGTAGGGACTCCCCGCCTATTTGCTAAGTGAAACGGAAAAGAAAGGATGGCAGGGGACAGGGTTGAGGGAGGCCAGCAAGCAAGTGAGGAAGGAGCCAGCTAGGAGGGAGGAAGAGGCTTACCTGAAAGGGCACGTCGGCCATGGTCTTGGCCAGATAATATGCTTTGAGGCTGTACCAGTAGTTGAGATGCTCCCTCATGAAGACTGCCATCTCTAAGGGGACTGAGGACACAGGCAGATTAGGCACAGCTGTCTGATACCCTGACCCCCTGTGCCCCCAGCCTCCCCGCCCCCCCGCTCCCCCCGCGCCCAGGGCAGCTCAGCTCACAGGTCAGCACAGTTGGCATAAGGGCAGCAAACATGAGAAACAGCATGGAGAAGAAGAGGCAGCCGGTGTTGTTGAAGACCTTGCTGGCATCGTTACCGATGTGCAGGTAAAGGAGACCAATGAGCACGCCGATTACCACGTGGGACACAAACCGCAGGTGGGTCAGGACCTGGGTGAGGAGAGGGGATGGGCCGCAGGCCAGGGATGAGCAGCCACACTGGGGTAGGAACTCAGAGCTGCCCTCGCGGACACACAGACACACAGGGGTACTGGGAGACTGCCGGCGGTGGGGGCTGGGGGGAGGGGGGACGTTCCCCTCCCAGCTGCTGAGATCCTATGCCCCCCAAAGCCAGGCCTCTACCAGCCTCTTCTCCCCCAACTTGATGCCTCACCGTGTCCCTGAGGATGGACAAGAAGGTCCTCTTGAAAAGGATGCAGAACTGTGTAAGGGTGCTGGTGGCAAAGGTGTGGCTTTCGATGGGATCCACTTCCTGGGGAGAGGACATTGGCTTAGGTGAGCCTGTCCCACCCACTCACTGCACATCCAGCTCAGTGATGGGAAAACCCCTGAGCCCTTCCTCAGGGCAGGGGTCCTCCAGGTGTACCGATGGAAAATTCCCCACCATTGAGGTGCGTGCCTGGAAGCTGGCCTCAAAGTCATGAACTGGAGCGAGATTCCGAGAGAGAGAGAGAGAGAGAGAGAGAGAGAGAGAGAGAAAGAGACAAGGAACAAGTAAAAACGTGGGAGGCAGGAGAGAGCAAGGAGGTCAAGGACACCTGTGGGGGCTAATAGGAGACCGGTCACTCCTCTTCTTTACTCCATCAAGAAACCTTTACCCCAAGGGCGTAATGACAATCATATCTAGCAATGATAATAATGACCGCAGCAACAGTAAGGAACCCTTCTGGGTTTTGAGGCCAGCATCCATCGTATCAGTTCAGAAGAAAGAATTAACCAGAGGTCATATGGCCTCCAGGCACAGCTGGACCAACCAAGGGATTGTAGGAGTGCAACGCCACCAGCTCACAAGTGGTTAATTATCACTACCCTAAAGATATAAGCACCAGATGGACCGAATGAAATCTCTAACATACAGAACAAAGATTTTTCAGATTCCAACTCTCTTGAGGTGGGAAAGATCTCCATCTGCTCCGGACGAAACAGCACCACAGCACCTGCTGGCATGACCTTATGGGTCTCCAGTCAACGCCATCCACCTTCTCAAGAGACCCTTGCCCCAACTTTTGGCCTTAAAAACCCTCACTTGCAAGCCCCTGGGGAGTTTGGGACTTTTGAGCACTAGCTCCCCATTCTCCTGGGTGGACCTACAGTGCAAAGACATTTACGTGATGATCTAGTTAGTCCTGCCAATGACCCTGGAGGTAAGTGTCGTCACCCCCAGGCTGCAGATGACAGTTGGACACGTTTTGGCCAAAAGGCGAGAGACAGCATCGGTTTGGCTTACCAGGTGGCACCGTGCCGGCACCGAGGACAACACACAGATGCTCAGTAAGAACTTGCTGAACAAATAAATGAACGAGAACGCCAGAGCTCAGAGGTCGAGCAACGTGCCCAAGGTCACGCAGCTGTTAATAGTAGGTCTACTCCAAGTTCTGGGTTCTTCCTAGAACCCAGTGGTTGTGATGCCTCTGGGGGAAAGCCTCTTTGGCAGGGCCGTTGTCCATCGTCCCATCCCCCCTCCCCCACTTTTCCTTCTCTGCCGTCTCCACCCCTACTCACCTGAGGGCAAGGGGGGCAAGGGGTGGGGACCTCATTCTTCTCTGGGATGCTCTTCTTCTCAGCCATGGCACAGAGCCCATTCTGCACAGCCCTGAACAGCATGGGGTTGAGGTCTCCGTACTCTCCAGAGGCCACTTCGATGACTAGGAGGCACAGAGGGGAGCACTTAGCTAAGATGCATCCTTGGTTCCCAAGGGCAAGCCAGCCCCTCCATGGGTGTGTGGGGAAGGCCAGTGACAGTGAGGCCTCTGCCCCCGAGGAGGCCCGGGTGCATGACCCGATCCCCCAGGTTTGGCCCAGCGTCATCACTCACTGAAATCAGCCGGGTTGTGGTAAGTGGGGCAGTGCAAGCCGAGCCCCTTCAGGTAGGGGATCAGGTTGGTGACCACGCCCTTGAAGATGCACTGACCCTGGCTCAGGATGTAGAGCTGAGGCAGAAAGAGAAGGGTGAGGAAAACACAGCCAGTGGACCCGGCAGGCCCCACCAGCACCTCTACTGATGCCCTGCTCTCTCCCCGTTGCAGGCCAGGCACGTGTGAGGCCCAGAGACCCTCACCTTGTCAAACATCTCAAAGAGCTTGGCACTGGGCTGGTGGATGGTGCAGATGATGGTACGGCCCCCCTGGGCCAGGGACTTCATGAGGGACACCACTTGGAAACAGGAGGCGCTGTCCAGACCACTGTCCAGAGAAAGGGGGTGGGGTGGGGTGAGGTGGGCAGAGCCAAAGAAGGGAGTGTTTGGGGTGGGGCGGCTGCTATGAAGGGGATGGAGCTGGCAAGGAAGGGAGTCACTCTGGCCATCCCCGTAGCCTGTACATACTGGACGATTCAGGCGTTTGGAGTTACCAAGAGGCCCAGAGCACCACTCAGTTCAACAAGCAAATATCCAGCGAGCACCTGTTGAAGGCCAGGCACTGGGATTACGGTGATGGATAACTAAGACAGACTCTGGTCCAGAGGGAGGGAGAGATAAGCGCACAGATCACTTGAGATAATGTGGAACGTGGCGTGACAAAGAGGGGAGGGTTCAGGTCTGCCATACAGGGGTTGGAGGGTAGTCAGAGAAGTTTGCCGAGTAGAAGAAGAAGGAGCTACGCCAGCTCTGGTGGAAGGGCAGGCATGGAGGCGAAGGGCATTCCAGGCACAAGACACAGCATGTGCAAAGCTTAGAGGCAGGAAACACATGTCCGGCCCAGGGAATTATAAGCAATTCAGTGTTATTAGAGCATAAAATATAAGACGGCATGAAGCAAGATGTGAGGCTGGAGAAGTAGGTTCAGACCAGGACCTTGTAAGTCCTCTGATTTTATTAGGAGGGCAAATGGGAACCGTTGGGTGTGTTTTCAAGCAAGGGAGTGAGAATTGCCAGACTTGTCTTTTAGAAAGCTCTCTCTGGCTGCACTTTGGAGGAAGGATTGGCTGGAAGAGACTGGAGGCAAAGAGATAGGAGTCGGTTGCAGAAATGCGGGCAAGAGTTGCTGATGTCCTGAACTTAGGCAGGAGCACTAGGGATGGGGGTGGGGCAAATCTGAGAGACGGAGAAAGGAGGTAGAATCAGCAGGATTTGGTGACTGATTGGCTGTGGGGAAGAGAAGGAGAGGGAGGCATCAGTCAAGGAGGACGTGGGATTTCTGCCTGCATGAAGGATGGGGCTGCTACGGCACTAGGATTGGCAGGGACCGACGAGGAGTAAGCCCTTATCTTGGCCCTGGGAGGCTGCGAAAGCGGACTCTGGTCTCCAGCAGTGGAGCAGATTCCCTGGGCTCAGGGCTGAGAGGAGGGGGCATCCTGCTGGGGGAGGAGGGGGAGAACTACCTGGTGGGTTCGTCAAAGAACATGACCGGCGGGTTGTTGACCAGCTCCAGGGCGATGGCCAGACGCTTCCTCTGCCCACCGGAGAGCAGGGCCGTCCTCGTGTGGGAGCAGGACATCAGGCCCAGTGCTGTCAGGATCTCCGTCACCTGGCCCAGGCCCCACCCCCATCCCAGGTCAGCTTCAGATTCTCCGCTCCTCCCCACCCCCACACCACCCCAACTTAAAGAAGTCTTCCCTTAAGTCCACTGTCCCCACCCGGGCCCCCCCCCCCAACTCGGGGCTCTAGGACTCAGAAACACACACAGGGCAGCCGTCCTGTTCTCACCCCTGTCTCTTCCCCACTCACCAGTTCCTTCTTCACCTCTTGCTTCTCACTCAGCTTCAGGTTAGCAGAGACCTGAGGCCCAGAGAGTAGGCAGGTCAGATGTGTGTGGGAGGGGCCCCTGCCTCGACCCCTTGAGGATGGGGGCGGCGGACAGAAGCGGGGGCTGGGAGGAGGAGGCGGCCATCCAGCCCTCACCATCATGGCTTCCAACACCGTCAGGTGTGGGAGCAGCATGTCTTCCTGCATGATGTAACAGGACATCTTGCGGAAGGTCCTCAGTTCCCGCGGCCTCCCGTTGACCAGGATCTGCCCCTTCATGCCAGACTCCCTGGAGGAACATTGGTCGCGGGTGGGAGGTCAAGGCCACTTCAGATCCCCTTCTGGGCTCTCCCGGGGATCCGGATCCGTCCTCCCGGCCCCTTTCCCCGCTTCCGCCCCAGCTGCGTCCTCACCTGTACCCTGCCAGGATGTTCATGAATGTGGACTTGCCAGCCCCCGAGGGGCCCATGATGCCGATCAGCTCCCGGCGGCAGAATTTACCCGACAGGCACTTGAGGAGGGTCTTATAACCTGCAGTGAGGGAGGGAGGCACTTCTGATCAGGGTTGCAGTGAACAGAGGAGCCCCAAACTCTTAGCAGCGGCCATGGCTTTTATTGAAATAGGCAGTCCCTACTCAGGGTAAACTGATTCGGACGGAGGAACGACCTTCAGAGCAGCAACAGTATTCACACCCTCTCATCCTGGTCCCCTAGAAACGGCCACTCCTAATGTCGAAGCATCAGAGGTGACCATACTCTTCGGTAGGCTATGAAAAACCTCCACACCTCATGGATGGTCGCGGAGAGCGGGGTCAAGCTTATAGACGACCCTGCTCCCCTTCTATACACACAGCAGTGACCCTCACTGCCTCCAGGAAGATTTTCCCAACGATCAGCCCTAGTGAGCTGGTCGAATGTCCTCGGTGTTCCCATAGCGCTTTGCATATGCCAGCACGGCAGCTATTTGACGCGCCTGTCTCTCACCCCCTCCCCACCCAGCCTCTTAGTCTGTGAGCTGCTTGGGGGCAGAGTCTGTGGCTTGCTCATCTTTGTAACCTCAGGAGACCGTCTGGCAGGTACTAGGTGCTCAGTAAGTGTTCCCGGAGTGAGTGCTCTCAGAGCTTTTGCTTCATTCTGGAAAAGCCTTCTTTGTGCTCCCTTGGCCCCCTAGGCTTGTCTCTGCAGCCCCTAACGTGGCCCAGTAACATCTCATCATTCATTCACTCGTTGGGAGGCAGCATATGCATTAAGAGCACCGATTTGGAGTCAGGTGGATCTAGGTTCAAATTCTGGCTCCACACTTACCAGCTGTGTGACCTCAGGCAAGTTGCTTAACCTCTCTGAGCTCCAGGTCCCTCATCTGTAAAATGAGGATGATAGTACCTATCTCATAGGGTTGTTGTAAAGAGTCAATGAGATAATATATGTAAAGGCATATGACACAGTGCTTGGCACATAGAGTATATTTAAAAAATGACATTTTATCATTAATTCCATTTGACAAATGTTTATTGATATCCACTACATTCCAAGCTCTGTACCAGACACTGGACAAAAAAAAAAAAAAAAAAAAAAAAAAAAAAAAAATATGAAGAAGACACATTTCCTGCTTTCAAGAAAGTCATAGTCTGGGGTGCCTGGGTGGCTCAGTTGGTTGAGCGTCCGACTTCAGCTCAGGTCATGATCTCACAGTCTGTGAGTTCGAGCCCCGCATCAGGCTCTGTGCTGACAGCTCAGAGCCTGGAGCCTGCTTCAGATTCTGGGTCTCCCTCTCTCTCTGCCCCTTCCCCGCTCATGCTCTGTCTCTCTCTGTCTCAAAAATAAATAAAAAACATTGAAAAAAAAAAGAAAGAAAGAAAGTCATAGTCTAGGTAAAAATGGTGGGAACGTCTGTGGATCTAAGGAAAGATAAAATAAGGGTTATAATAGAAGCACAAATAATGCACAATGAGAATGCAGAAAATGGAACTGAGGAGGGTGGAGGGCCAAGGGAAATATCAAGAATGGCTTCCTGGAAGAAGTGGCAATTGAGCTAAGTCTTGAAGGATGCTCAGCACTCAAAAATGGAGAGGAAAGTCAGAGGCTCGCCAATCCTTGGAAGGAGGAGCTCTGCCATGTGAGAGAATATACAGAACACAATCCAGGAAGCAGAGGTCAGAGACTACAGGGAGTCACCCGGGAAAACAAGGTAGAGAGGAAGGAGGAAGCCCATGAGACCAGCCTTGCCTCGTATGCTTGCAGACCTGCCTCAGTGAGGCAGAAACACCAATCTCCCACTGGAGATTTTGTTCATTACCACCCTCCTCCGACCCCCACTGAGCCCCACTCCCTCTCCACAATACCTCCTCAGCAGAGACAGCGAAGGGATGTGATCTTTCACTCTCCCTCCACAGCACCCAGCTATCCCTCTGGACGCATCCATTCAGAAGGAGGCTCAGCTGCTGTCCACTCTGGGGTCCTGATCGCACCGACGGCCTGGATAGTGCTTTCCCGTTTATAAACTCATTACCCGGGTTACTGCTACAGCAACATGGACGAGCCAACTGGGGCCCAGGGACCTCCAGTGACTCACCCAAGGTCACACAGCAAGTTCTTCACTGGGAGAGGGCAAGTCACAGGTTCTATCCCTCTGCCTCAGTCATTATGACCATCAATCCGAAAGACGTGTGGTTGTATACTCCAGCAAACGCCTTTCAGAACCACTCACAGGAAATGATTTCTTTTGCAGGGGAGGAAACTGGCAATGATGAACCTTCCTCTCATTTAATCACAGCCAAGCACTAGATTGGACACTGATGCCTAATACAAATATCAGCTTACACTTGCCTTTCACAAAGCATTTCCACAGATAATGTCTCAGCTAAGCCTGTGCAATGACATTTCTTATCACCCCTATTCACAGATGAGGAAAGTGAGGCCAAGAGAGGGTGAGCAGATGGCCCAAGGTCATCTTCCAGTGGACAGGTGGCTAGGAACCCAGTCTTTGAACCCCTGCTGTTCCATAGCTGCTCTTCATGGGAAGGGCCTGCCAGGCCTTGACATAAAGACACATCAGAGTTCTAGTCCTGCCTCAGTCAGTAACTCTCTTGCAATTCTGTCAAGTCCTGTCAAAATCAGGACAGTAACATCTCCTCAAGGCATAACAGGGTTATTGTGAATGTTAAGTGAGGTGTTTAATACTAACTAATAGGAAAGTGGTTTGAAAACAAGAAACACCGTAATAATTAGGGGAAAAGGGCGGCAAATCCTTACCTGGGAAAGGCAGAAACTACCCTCTCTCCACATCCCTCTCTCTTTTTCCTCTCTGCCCACCTCTAATTTCTCTAATTGCTTTCTGTCCTCCAGACAAGGGGAGAGGGACTCCGGTGAAAAGGCAAGTCAAAGAGAGGAGGACAGAAGACAAAGAAAAGGGCAAGGGACAGAAGAGACAGCAAAGTGGACAGTGGAGAGTATGGGGCTGGCCAGGTCAAAGGAGAAAGGACCTGGTCAGAGGTGCCAATTTGTGACGGGTGGGTGGGTTGAAGCAACCGGTCCATCTAACTACGTTTCTTTCTTATCTACACATCTCCTTGAAACTGAGGAAACGAGACGGCTAAGGACATAATGGCTACCTCTTCATTTTGCCCAGAGCTGGTCTCGGGGTGGAGAGGCTGCTCAGGGACGGGCACCGGGCAGGGGGCCCAGAGGCCTCAGTTGCCATTGGCTCAGGCCCTGTGACCTTTTGGTCACTCATGGGAGTGAGGGTGGGGAGTACAGAGACAGCTCATGTTTGGTCCTGCTCGGAAGCACCCCAAACTTATTCTTAAATCTCAGAGAACAATGTCCCAGCTCCACCCCTCGTCCACACCCAGCTCTGGGGGAAAACAAAAACAAAATAAACCCCTCAGCTTCTCTATTCCCAGCTCAAGCTGCCCGTGGCCGGCCAGGGGCAAGGGATCCAGGCGATGGCGAGGGTTCCAAGGAACTCAGAGCCCCAGCGCTTCCCCACCTGTGCTGATGAGAGAAAAGAGGAGGGGATGGGAATTGGTGTACCAGGGAAGTTAAGAGACGGGGAAAAACAATACGCAGAGAGCTGGAAAACCTGGCTTCTGGTCCTGGCTCTGCCACGTATGAGCTGTGTGGCACTGGACAAGTTACTCAACTTCCCTGGACCTCAGTTTCCTTATTAGTGACGTGAGGATGTCATCTCTCTTGCTAAACCCTCACCCTCCCTGCCTTGGAGGACTTCGGCAAGAATGGAGTAAGATGACAGGAATGAGAACATCTTTTAGGATTAGCAGTGTTCTGTGGGTACAAGGATGTTGCTACCCGCTGGGGAGAACCTGTGCAACGCAGCCCCCCACTTCCTCGCACCAGCCCTCAAAGGCAGGAATTCTACCTAAAAAAAAAAAAAGAAGGAAGGAAAACTCTGCAAGAGTCACTGAACCCCCGGAGGTCATCATGTCAACTTAGGGGGAGAAAGCTCCAGTAGCCAGTTGAACCTAGAGTCCCACCCAGTGCTCGCGGGTGTGGGGGGAGCACAGCCCCGCCGCCTCAACTGTGTGCATAGCCAGCGGGTTGAGATTTCAGTGCTCCCACAGGGCCCATTGGTGCGAACAGGAATTTCAGAGTCTCTCCTGCTTCCTCCACGATAAGGCAACCCTAAATAGCCTCCACAGCCCCCACCAGATCGTTCTCATCTGTTTGAGCCAGGGCCTCTCCGCACGGGGAATAGGACAGCTCCACGAACTGATGTCCACTGCTTGCAGGGAGGCATGCTGCTGGGCTTCGGTGATGTGGTTCTCCACCTTCAGGTATGGTCAGCATCGGGGCTCCGCCTGTCCTCCATGCCACGGCACATGGCCACGGCCCCGGGTCCTAGTCCACAGCCCACGGCCTCCAGCGCCTTCTCCGCCATCACGCCAGCCGGCCTGCAGGGGAGAGGGGCCTGCTCGGTTCGGCGGAGACCCCCCAAGCCTTGGTTCAAACTCCCCTCGCCTCCTTCCTCTAATGCCCCCCGCCTCACTCCCTGCCTCCTTTCAGGCAGATCTGGCATGAGAGCACCCCACTCCCACCTGCCAGAGCGTTCTGCTCCCCCCTCCTGCCCCCCCCCCACTGGCGCAGTAACGCTCGGTTCCGACCTCTCCTCGGTCTGCCAGCCCCAGCCTGGCTCCAGCCTGTCAGCAGACCCCTCACAAGCCTCAGCCGCTCCCCCCCTCCCCGCGGTGGCTCTAACTTCCTGCCTCCTCAGCAGCCCCCCTGGGGACTGGGCGGGCTGGGGAGCGGGAGGGAGGGAAGGGCGGACACCGCGGAGGCTGCCCGCCCAGCTGGTCTGGGTAGCTGGGTATGCAGGGCGGACCGGGGGAGAAGACGGAGGAAGAGGAGGGCCTTGGGCCTCCCGCAGCATCCTCCCCATCCCCGCGCGACGCCCGGCTCGCTCTTCTCCCGCCGGCGCCCTGGGTTCTGGCGGCCGCACCACCTCAAGACCTCCCCTCCACCGCCGCGCCAACTAGGCTCCCGCGGCGGCCTCCCCCATCTCCCGCGTGCCTAAGCCACCTTGGATGCCCCGGCCGGTGTGACCGGAGAGTTTGAGGCTGCCGGGCGCGGGCCGGGATGGAGACTCCGGGCCCTTCACCTGCCTGGTTGCAGTGGCACTGCAGGCCCGGCTCCTGGTCCTGGCGGCGCGCCGGGCGGGGTTGGCGGGCGGCGACTGGGGAGGCGCGGCCCGGGCCCCAGTCCGCCGAGAGGATGACAAGGATGGGGAGGGGGTGCCCCGACTGCTGGGCTGGCACACTGGTTCCTCCCGGAGCCTGGTCCCGGCGCGCTGGGGTTCTCCCTGAGCCTGCCGGGCGACTGCGCTCTGCTCCCAGCTACTGCTCGCCGGTCCCGTCACGAAGGGCTCGCGCGGCCCCGCAGCCGGCGGGGGCGAAAGCAAGGCGAAGGGGACGGCGGTGCCGGCGAGGAGGAGGCCGGAGCCAAGCGCAGGTGTGGCCTCGGGGTTGGCGACGAAAGGCCAACTTGAAGACAGGAAAGGAGCTGAGTCGTGCAGTGGGACAAGTCCCTGGATTACAGATGATGACGGCGTATATGTGGGTGGGGTGGCATTAGGGTGCAGATGATGCCATCTCTCAAGGATTGTGAAAGTTGAAACAGACTGCGCCAAGAGACGCGACGCCATCACACACACAATAATACCCACCATCAGCTTCTCTGTTCTGCCCTCCTTGAGCCGGCTTTCCAGGGATTCTTTCAAACTAGATAAAGGCTTTGAAAGTTGTCTGGGATAGCCCTCCTCCCTTTCCCCACACCACCCCACTTTCCCTCCCTAAGCTGGAGGAAACGTTAAGAAGGGAAGGAGAGAGTGGGATGCCTTGGGAGAGCCATGAGCCCAAGGTTAAGGTGGTACTTAGAGCCCAACCACCAGACATCTTTGTTTATTCACCAGGCTCAAGACAGGCACACAAGCCTTATACACAAGCACAGCTAGGGCATGTACACAGGGCTCACAGACACGCCTTCCCAGATTTCCCCAGCACACATATGCGTTCTCTCCTCACCCACAAGCCTTCAAATGGTGGTTCCAGAACACTCTTGGGGCTTTCCCCTGCTTTGCTCCTTACTCTCCAGCCTCCTTTCTCTGGTCCTCTCGCTTGCCCCACCCAGCTCCCAGGGGTGGGCAGGTTAGCCAGTTGAGACGTGTGACCTGAGCTTTTAAGTTCCCACCTGTCACAGGGCAAAGACAGATGGGAGGGGAGGCTGCTGGTGCTGCAGCCACCTTCCTACTGCAGCAGTTGAGAGGTTGCTGGGCAGGCAGTCAAACTCTCCCTGCTCATCAGTCTCCTCCTTCCAGCTTCCTCCAGCTAAAAAGACATGCCCCGAGGCTGGCAGCTCTTCAAGACATCACCAGGCTCCACCCTGTAACTGTAAGGTTCAGTGGGTTTCGGATCCAGCCCTCCTTACCTTCCCCCCCACCCCATGCCCTACATCACCGCCGTTCCTCAGGACCAACGTTCTCCTTCTCCAGATGGACCCTCCGTTCTCCAAGTTAACTTCAATGCCCTAGTATAGACTCCCCGTCTCCAATGGTTGCATTCATTGAGCGATCATTATGGACCTGGCGTTATCTGACTTCATTCTCACAATATCCTCATGCGGCAGGCATTACAACCTCTCTTTAGAAATAAAGAAACATGCGACAACGTGGTTGGAACTGGAGTGTATTATAATAAGCGAAGTTAGTCAGAGAAAGACAAATATCATATGACTTCACTCACATGTGGAATTTAAGATACAAAACAGACGAGCATAAGGGAAGGGAAGCAAAAATAATATAAAAACAAGGAGGGGGACAACCCATAAGAGACTCTTAAATACAGAGAACAAACTGAGGTTGCTGAAGGGGTTTTGAGTGAGGGGGGGAAGGGCTAATTGGGCAAGAGGCATTAAGGAGGACACTTGTTGGGATGAGCACTGGGTGTTACACATATGGGATGAATCACTGGATTCTACTCTTGCAATCATTATTGCACTACATGTTAACTTACTTGGATGTAAATTTTAAAAAATAATAAATTTAAAAGAAGGAAAGAAGAGAAGGAAGGAAGGAAGGAAGGAAGGAAGGAAGGAAGGAAGGAAGGAAGGAAAGAAAAGAAAGAGAAAGAAAGAAAGAAAGAAAGAAAGAAAGAAAGAAAGAAAGAAAGGAAGGAAGGAAGGAAGGAAGGAAGGAAGGAAGGAAGGAAGGAAGGAAGGAAGAAAGAAAGACAGGCATAAGGAGGTTGGTTAAGCAATGTGCCCAAGAGGACACATCTAGTCAGCAGCAGAACAGGGCTTGAATCCTGAAGTTTTTGCTTTTACCCACCTGCTATGGGGCCTCTCAGAACCCTATTCTCAAATGGACTCCCTCCCTCCCTCCCTCCTGTTTTCTAGACAGGCTCTTCCATTCTCCCAAGATAACCACATCTTAATGACACTCCCCTCCTTTCCCTGGCGTACAACTTTCCAATTCTCAGGAAAATGTTCTCCCCTTTCTTAGGAACACCGTGTCCCCCTTTCCTCGGGACAGGCTTCCCCAGCTTCAGAGACCAACATTTCCAAGTGTTCCATCAGCTTTCCACACCATAGGATTTGCGCCCCATGCCCCAGAGCCGTGGTCCTCAGCCTTGGCTACGAGTTAAACATCACTTGGGGGATGTCTAGAAAATATGTCTAGATAGTACCGCAAACCAGTTAGTCCTGATCTCAGGACTCAGCTCTTAGTGTTTTTAAAAAGCTCCCCGGTGGACCCCACTGGGTAGGAAGTCGAGAGCCCCTGCCCTAATTGAACCTTCCATCCCCTGGGTTTGAACACGTGCCATGGACCCATGAAAGTCCTCCCTCTTCCCTAGAACAGACCTTCCCATTCTCTGGGGCACCCTCTCCCCATTTTGTGAACACATCTTCCATGTCCTGAATCTGGAGTCAGTTATCTGCTTTCTGATTTTGATGCTTTGATTCATTCTGTGTTCTTAAGCAACTTTCTCCACCTCTCTGAGCTTCATCCATGAAATAGAGATGATAAAAATTCCTGCAGATCGGCCTCAAAAGAGTCTCATGAGGTTCAAGTGTCCAAGACCTTAGTGTTTATTCTCAAGAATAGATCATACATCCTTACTCTCCAGGCCAGGCTTACCATGGTTCATTTTATTTCCCCCAGAAGAAGCTTCCATTTTCTCGGCAAAGGAGGGAAACTACATTTATTGAATGCCTACTATGTGCTAGGCACCTGGCATAACCACGTGACCTCTGAAAAGAGCTAGGTCTGTAACTTTCTCCCCTGGATTCCTAGAACTTGGACACAGAAAGTACTCAATAGCTATCAGCTGCCTGAATGGTCTAACCAGTCCGCATGACAATTTTATGAGGTCAATATTATCCTCCCGTGTTTCAGATAAGGAAACGGACGCTCAGAAATGTCAAGCACAAGTATGAGTTGATGTGATGGCTCCAGGGATCCATGTCAGAATCATCTGGCGGGCTTGTTAAAACAAATTGTTAGCCCTACCCCCAGACTTTCTGACTCAGCATCCGCAGTGGGGCCAGAGAATTGGCATCTCTAATAAGTCCCTAGGTGATGCTGATACTGCTAGTCTAGAGACCACACTTTGAGAACCATTGCTCAAGAGACCCTTCATTCCTCAGTCCAGACCTCATCATTCCCAGAACAATCCCCCTATCACCTACCAAGGACTTTCCCTCAGAGTGGACCTGCTCCCTCTTCCCCAAATAGTCCTCCTCCCTTCCCTGAGACTGACCCTTTTCTTTCTCTGAGACCTCCCCAATTCCCATCCCAGACCCTTCCCCCCCTTCCCAAGAGGGAGCCTCCAAACAGGGCAGGCTCCTTAGACCCAGAAAGGTAAGGGTTGATGATAATTGGCTTACGAGGAACAAGGCAGAAGCAGAAAACTCCTGTCTCAGCTTAGTGCCAGGAGTTAATCTAGCAGACGGGTGCTCTGGGCAGGGATTTGTGAGAGAAGCAGTCGGTAAGGAGCTTTATGTACCTATGGCAAAAGGGGGGTAGCAGTGTCCTATGGGACCGGGGGAGGAACTGGACTGGGGACTCTGGAACCAACTCAGTTCTGTTCCTACCACCCCAGGCCACTCATCCGCAGGGCCTCCTTTGCCCACGGCACTAGTCTCTCGTCTTCGGCAAGAATGGTTTTAAAATGTGTTTATCAATAGAAGGACCCTCTGCTGGCCACTGGGGGAAATGCAGCTCAGGACTGGGAATGAGGGGTGGATTAAGAGGGAGGCCGACCCTAGCCCTCCCCTACCCAAGGCAGGAAGCAAAGATGGGCGTAGGCTCGAATCTGGACGGTGGAGGGGGGTACCTGCGAGGCAGAGCCCCTGCTGTTGCTTTCTAAAAGATCTTTATTCTTTTAA